AATCTCCTCTCTCAATTGCTTAAAAACACAGAAGTAATATAAACAATTCGTGCATAGCTAAATAGCGCAATGATCTCTACAACGCTCTCAATTGCACAAAACAAAAGCACGCACAAGTCCACTTATTAAGGTGTATCTAAATTCAAAATATTTGGACACCGAATATTTTAATAAATCAAAAGCGCCTTTTTGATTGCAATTTACAATTTAAACATATATTCAAAATAAAATATATATTAAAAAAAACATTATTTCATTTAAATTAAATACGAAGTATGAAAAGAAAAATCAAAAATGATGAAAGTTGATAACAATCAAAATACACCTGCAGGAGCTCACGCTCAAATCAGGTTGCTAAATTTATTTCAGAAAGTGAACGTTTAACCAGATCCTGCACTAGATTTCTTCTTCACCGATTCAGAGTACTCTTGAATGTTTACCATCGGTACTACAAATCAAAATTATAAATCTCGACAATTTTTTTACACGACTCCAAGCGGTTCATGACGCCATAGTAGAATCTGACGATTCAGATCTACCTCAAAATTTTAAATCGTCGGCTTTCGATATCTACGAAAACAAAACCTTCGATCTTCGATCAATTAAAGCTAATAAAACCAATTGAAACTACTCCATATCCGAGAATAGAGCTGCCACAAGAAGACAGTCAGAAGGCAAGTTCAGGCATCCAACTCGAGGTGCCCGCTTGTGACACAGAAACCTTTTACGGTGGTTATGAAGAATGGCCGTCCTTCCGAGACATGTTTATGGCCTTGTACATAAACCATCCTCAATTATCACAAGCTCAAACATTGTATCACCTCAGATACAAAACTAAAGGCAGCAGGCATAATAGTAAAACAGTTCGCTCTTAATGACGATAATTTTAATTTGGTTTGGGAAGCTCTAAAAGCCAGATATGAAATCAAAGGAATGCTGGTCGATAAGCAAGTAACGATACTACTAAACTTGCCTAAAATCAAGAAAGAAACAATTGAAAAATTTGTAATAATACAATCTACTGTTTCTAATTGTTTGTCGATTCTGTCGACACAAAATATTCCCACAGATATCTGGGACCCAATTCTGGTAAACATTTGCATCGCCATATTACCTTAAAAGTCATTACTTCTATGGGAGCAATCGCTCTCATCACGAAAAAAGTGCCCAACGTGACAACAAATGAAAGATTTTCTCACCACCCAATATGAAATAGGAAAGTTAGAAAAAAAATAATCAAAATTAAGAACATTAAACACGACCAAAATGGAAGCTTAAATAGACCCCAAGGTATTAACAAAAACAATTCGAACCAAAACTTTCACAAAACGCAATCGTTCACATCTGAACAATGCACCAGAGGGCATAAGCTTAAAACTTGCTAGAATTTTAAAAAATTGAATGTCACTGAAAGGAACAACTTTGTCAGGTCTAAAAGAATCTGTACAAACTGTTTGTTCCACTCACACAATCTTAATAATTCCAAAAGCAAATTTAACTGCTTATATTGTCACAGCGGACACAATTCAATGCTTCATTACAGCAGATATCCAATCTCACCCCAAAGAAGCACTTATACACAAAGAACCACGGGTTTAATTGCAAAAGCAACTCCCGAAACAAAAACTCCAGCAATTTGCCAAGAGACATCATGCTGTTCAAAGGCATGAAAAACTCAAACGCTACACAGCGAAAATCATGGTACTGCTACCCACAGCCGTCGTCTAGCGGATAAGCGAATTAATGCAGAAACTATAGTCCTACCGCAATTAACAAATATGTTCCAAGCTATCACATAGACAGCAGACATTGGCAGAAGGTCTCACACTTAAAACTAAGAGATCCCTACTGAAACAAACCATCTCAAATAGATATTACATTAGGCAGCGACCTTCTACCGCAAATATTACTTCACAATTAAGGAAATTTCGAGATATAGGGAAACTTCCTCCCATATTAAAAGCACAAACAACTTTTCGGCCCCGCAGGATGGCTTTCGCTAATAATGAAAAGAAAAAATCAATTCTGAACAAATCCTAGTGCGGTGGCGGGCTACTAAACGCCAAATTAGTGTATATGCACTAAAAGCATAACACAGTTGTATCAAAAACAACGACATTTTTCTTAACTTTTCAAAAATAAATAAAATCAAAAAGGAAGTTAGAGGATCACTATACTCCCAATGCGATACATTGACGCACCTACTCTTACAAAAAGCTAAGGTCGCTCTTATCGCAACTATCCAACTGCTTCTCATATGCATGGGTTAAGGGAATCAGCTGTATAAAGCTTCCAAATAACTATGAACAATAGTGTACAGTATTATCAAAAATCGAAGCCGATTTCAATTCGCGGCCATTCACTGCATGCTCGCAAGATCCCTCTCATATAATAGTCCTAACCGCAGGGTATGTTTTCAAAGGCGCACCCATTCAGGCCATACCTGAGCCAGGCATGGAATTGCGGTCCGCGTTGAAACTATAAAATTTAGAATATTCATAAAAATTGGCATTATGGCAATATGGCATTAAAACTTAAAATACGTAATTCATAAAAATTGATAGAGCAAGCAAAAAACAAAAGAAATCAGTTAATCCAGAATAAAAACAGAAATAGGGAAAAAATATTTACATAGCTACATAATTATTCGTCGCTACTTGATAACAAGTTCAACTGTTTGCGACGAACTGGACTAAAGTCGGTATCATCACTGGAGATATGCATCAAATTATTCAATGGTGACTTTCGGCCAGTAATAGAGTTTTGAACTGTCGAAAGGTCTTGCGCCGTCGACTTTTTTATTAAAAAATATTTTATTGAAGTTGAACCATTCCTTTTTTTATTTGCATAAATCTTTATACCAAGCAATACAAATATTAATATCTCGTTCGAATTTTAGGGCACGTTCCATATTAGTTTAATTTTTTGAGAAATGATTCACAATACTGTTATGTGAAATGTTAGACCGTCATCAATTAAACTAGCAGTTGGTTGACCGTCGGTCGGTTTTCTACCTGTTATCAGTTTTAATCAATTAATTCAATCAGACAATCATCATCTAGAGGTTTATCTATCATTAATTCGTCGGCATCTTCATTTGTAGGTCGTCAAATCCTTCTCCTCCGATTTCGATATGTTTTCCATACATCAACGGCCGTAAGGTTGTAAGGTTGCCCTACTAATAAAGCTTAAACCCTGATCTTATGGTTGAATCAAGAAAGTGGTATTAGATGCAAAAATATTACTTTAACATTTGAATGTTCTAAAACGGGATGCATTGGCGCATTATCTATGAGCAAAAGCATTTTAAATTAAGACATTTCTGTTCCATATATTTTTTTTATCATTTTTTTTTTTCAACCGTGTAACTTCATATCCGTATAAAAACAAACCGGGTAAAATAAGAGTTGGGTGTATTAATGTTCAGGCTGACGATAAGTATTTAACCCGTGTGTTTTTATGTCTGACCATCCGTGCCAAATAAATTCCGCACAAAAAGTATCTGGAAATTGTAAATAAAACGCAAAATATTTAATTTACTATTTATTTTGTCGCCTCAAAGTAATTCCCATCACAAGCAATAAACGATTATTCCAGTCCTCGAACAACTTTTCATAACCACTTTTTGGGATGACCTTTAGCTCCTCGAGCGAATTTTGTTTTATCTCTTCGAACGACTTAAAACGGGTTCCATAGTACGGCAACTTTAGTTTGGGCAACAAAAAAAAAAAAATCACACGGAGCCAAATCTAGTAAATACTCGTACGATGATGCTAACTATTTTTATAAACTATGTTTTTACTTAGTTATGGTTTGTTTTTTTTACCTCCATTACGATAATGGTTGAGTTGTTTGCATGTCAAACTCATAAACCCATATCTCATCGCTAGTTGTAATGCTTTCCATGAATGTGGGATCGGAATTCGCTCCATCCAAAGAGACCTGCTTACGGTACTCTTTGTGAAAAAAAACAAGAACGCGTTTCATACCCAAAACATCAACTAAAATCATTCGAATGGACTTGTAAAATACCAAAATGTATTGTAATCCATTCACGATTTCGTTGAACAATGAATGTGGAATTCTTTTTAAACATTTTTATACTCTTGTAACATGATACTAGAGAGAATAGTGGTTTTGTTCACCTAACGGTTTTTAGTATCACATAAAACTAATCAAGATAAATGGTAGGATGGATGGTATGTAGGTTTATGGTATACATATATAAATGATCACGATGAGTTGAATTCCGAACGACAGTCATATGGTCGATTTATCCGTCCGTCCACCTGAATAAGCGGTAACTTTAATAAACCTTAGTACCTTGATATATTTACTTAACTTGGTAAATACGTTCGGATTGCGAAGATGAGTTCAAAGTTCATCATAAACGGATCTCTTTTATGCAAATAAAACCTCATGAATTAGCAAGTTAAGCTCCAAATTGAAATACAAAACTGTAATTTGGCCTCATCGGAGAGATAATTAATAATAATTTTCTAAATTTGTAAATGCTATTCTTGTGTATATATTTCCATGATGAAATTGTAAACATTACAGGAATACAAGTACAATAAAAACAAGTAAAGAAGTCCTAAGTTCGAGTACAACTAACCATTTTATACTCTTCCAACTTGCAAGAATCAAAAGCAAGGAAATACTTTATGATGTAAAACCTATCATATAGAGTAAAGTTAGATGATCGAAAATCCTGATATTATTTATCTACTTAGACTACTACTTGGGATAACTCAAATTTTGGCCGATATATGCGGTACAAAGACACCCCGAAGCTTGAATATCTTTATATTAATTATATGGGGGCTAAGGGAAGTATTGGTCCTGATGTTTCCTTCTATGTGTTAGAAACTTAAGGGTTTAAGGTACAAAACAATAGAAAAATACTAAAGACAAATAATATTGTCAACAAATAGAAATAACTTTACATTTATATACATATATGTTTGGTGATATATCTTAAATTTTTTTAATCTTTTCAGATCAAATGCCACGAATATTTTCCTTATGCTTCAAATGGAATTTCGGTTATTATCAGGAAGAAAACATGCTTTGAATATTATGACCGATCCGAGATGTTAATTACTCAGGAAAAGTATGGATTAAAACGCAAAATTGATCATTTCTTTTTCAAAAAATGGCCAGATCATGGATGTCCCAAGGATCCTGCGCACTTGATAAATTTTATTCGTAAAATAAGAAGTTATCGACTGTCTAGTTATTCGCCAACTGTTATTCATTGTAGTGCAGGAGTCGGACGAACTGGTACATTTATCGCTTTGGATATAATAATGCAAAGGTTGAAGCACGAGTTTAAAATGAATATTTATGAAACTGTTAAGAAGCTACGATTTCAAAGAATGAAAATGGTTCAAACTATAGAGCAATACACTTTTTTGTACGAATCTGCGTATGAACTTGTCCGTCGTAATATTAAAAAACAAATATTTGATGAAAACAAACTAATTTTTCCACATAGAGGTGTTATAATGGCAACTATGTATAATTCTGAAGAGCGAAATAACGAAAATGTCTAATTTGTAATAGCAACTTATAATATTAAACACATGTATAAAATGTTGGTAAAACTATTAAAAGTTAGAAAATAAATGTTCTATAAAAAATAATATGTTGTTAATTTTCCATGGAATTTTTAATTGACTAAAAATTTGACACATGTTACTATTAACAAAGAAGTCCACATGGCATTGCAGACTCAACTGAGTGCTATTAGTGAGAGTTATATAATATTGGGCCGTATGTACTGTATAACTGTATATCACTATATCGGCTCCACCGATTTGGCTGGAAATTG